GTTATCACAGGAATGAGTTTGAGTTCCTCTTCCTGTCTTGAGTTCTCTTGCCCTTCTGTGTTCTGCCATGGAATGAACCAACAGGATGGTCTACGTCAGATGCTGATGCCATGCTCAAGGACACCCAATCTCCCAAATCATCCCAACACACACACACACACACACACCATCCTGTTGTCCACAAATTACCCAGTTCTGTGATGTTCTGTTACAGCAACACTAAGACTAAAACTAGAATGAACTAAGACACAAAGAGATCCTGTAGATACTCCTTTTTATTTCTTAAAAAAAAAAAAAAAAAACAACTGAAAATGGGCTAATATTAGTCAATAGCTCTTGATACGTTTCTTACTGGAAACTGCTGAGACCCCAGAATTTCTTAGTGAAATACAGGCATTGGAGTTTTAAAATAGTCCCCATGCATGCTTGATACAACTGCTGTCAGTTATGGTTCAACGATCGTGGTTTGATCCATCGTGGGACCATCTGGGTTTAACCGGGGGTCTCTCAGCACGTTGTGTTCTTCCTCTATCAATCTTCCTTGATGCCTATATTCCTAAATCAAAGGGAACAACATCTAGTTTCAAATGGCAGTAAATGGGGAATTCATGGGTGTTGCCTCATTGGCAAAACATAGCACAAAACAATTAGCACGAGGCCATGAAACAGAAGCATTTGGAGAAAAAGAAATTAACAGCATATTTTAAACTTAAAGTCTCATTCCTCCCGTGTTTTGATTCCCATTCTCTTTTGAAAGGTTGTTTCACATGTTTTTTTCACCCCATCACATCCCCAACTGACTTTTCTCCACTTCTGGGTTATTCCTGCATGTCACTGTTAGCAAATGGTGACTGGGACACCATAGCATTGCCCCTCCACACTCTGCAGTCCCCAAGGGATGGACAGCATGCTCTGGTGACACTCCTGTGGCCTTTTCAGTCATGCAGGAACCCATCTCCACGGCTGCCATCATGCCCTCTGGACTTCCCAGCCCATCCCAGCCTGGGATTCGGCAGACACCGCACGAGTGTGTTTTATTGACCACTGGATTCAAAATCTGTCATCTGTCCGAAAGGAAAGCCTGATGCAAAGATTTAGAAGCAGGTAATTTTACTGAGAAATCAAATTACCGATCACCGATTCACCAAATGGCTCAGTCAGCAAGTTTACTTAACTCTTGGGTTTGGGTTGAGCAGTTTTCTTTCTGTCTTACAGCATCATTAAAAGGAGTGTGGCTGCCCCTGCTGCCTGCTACAGCTGGAGTGGGCAGAGAGAGACAGAGACCGAGGGGATAGAACAGGAATATATCTTGAAAAAAGATTTCTTCTAAATATTTTATTAATCAATGTATTCACAGGAAGGATAGAAAGATTCTGCATATTCAAGATCTATTAAATAAATTCTTCATGAATATATGTACAGGAATAATTTTTGAGAGAAATATCTTTGTTACAGAAAATATTTGTGGAGAATATGTTCTCAACCATTAAGAATACAGTCACAGAAACTTGTCCTATTCAACACAATATTCTTCAGCCCCAGAAATTGCAGACACAAACTGAATTTCCTTAAAATGGTGTAAAGTAAAACTCAGTGTTTCAAAAGAAATGAGTAAGTGTGGAGAGAGTTGGTCATTTGCTGGGTGGTTAAGAGTTGCTTCTAGAGCATGCATCCGGCAAGTTGCAGGAGTCTTGGGTTTAAAGCTGCACCACATCCAAAGCCCAAGTACTTCCTGGTATCTGCCCCTGCCTCCCCCCTCCCCCTGCTCAAGAGATGGGGGTGCTGTAGACATGGGTGACTCCTCTGAGACATCCCAGGCATGTCTGAAAATCAGCGTTCAGCCAGGGAGCCGCGTCCTCACTGGGAGTCCTGTGTTAGCCAGCTCTCCATCTCCAGCACCAGCACTCCTGGAAACACTTTTAAAACACGAGTTATACAAGGTCAGGATTTCAAATCACAGAGGAAGAAAGGAGGTGCTCAGAGATTGTTAAGGCTCGAGTTTTTTTTAATGTCCTAGGGCTGTTGGAAGTGAGAGAAATTTATTTTTTGCTGAAGCTATCTGAAGTGACAGACATTCAAAGACTATAGTCCCACAAGTCCCAAGCTCCTTCAGGACTCTCGCTAATGATCTAACTTCCAGCATCATCGTGTGTACTTGTGATGTGTTGCACAAATGGTCCTTTGGGGGAGCTTCTTCTAATAACCTAGAAGTGTGTATCTGGTCACGAGAGGAGGAGGTGCGTATGAGGCTGAGGTTGGGCTGGGGTAGCCGAGGACTACACGTTGTCTGCCATTTCTGGGTGTTGCTTGACCCAAAGGTGGTGGGAGTCCTCCCCGCACAGCAACGATTTCAGCTCCCGATAGGTCACGCCTTTCTGGAGCCCATTGGGATTGGGGAAGAGGCACTGGTTGGAACAGGAGCTGGATGTGGGTAGAGGTGAGTCCCAGGCAGTTGAGGGCTCAACAGCACCCCAGCGTCTGCCGTACCTGCTCCTGGGCCTCCAATTTGGAGTGGCACTAAGAGTGGCTCAACTGGGTTGCTGAAGGTGCTCACGCTTGACGCACACCCAGGGGCTCCTATGCGGGAGATTGAGGCTCAGCCACTGCTGACTTAGAGAAGTGGAGCACTGCTGGCACATTCCTGGAGCTACTTCGTGGTTGCTCTTAGATGTCAGTACCCCATACCAGGGTGCTTCAAAATAGCATTAAAAGGTTTGAAGTCTGAGGCTGGCGCTGTGGCGTAGCAGGTAAAGCTACTGCTTTCTGCGCAGGCATCCCATATGGGCACTGATTTGAGTCTGGTTACTCTACTTCTGACCTAGCTCCACTGCTAATGTGCCTGGGAAAGCAGCAGAACATGGGCCAAGTCCTTGCGCCCCTCACCCATGTGCAGGAAGAAGCTCTTGGCTCCTGTCTTCAGCCTGGTCCCGCCTTGGTCATTGCAACTATTTGGGAAGTCAGCCATTAGATGGAAAGCCTCTCTCTCTCTCTGCCTTTCAAATGAGTATTTTTTTTATTTTTGAAAAAGAATGTTCTTGAGAGCTTAAAGAGCTCATGCACCTTAAAAAAATTCAAAATCTGGGTGTGCGAGAGTCTAAGATGTTCATGAAAAATATGATGAAATCACATAGATTCCAAATTTCCTTTGGCACCTTTTAATTCCATTTTTCCACGAACATTTTGAAGCACCCTCGTGTGTGTGTTGTGTCAGCCATTTACATTCACAAGCATGCAGGCGTCCTCAAAGTGAAACTGAAAGACCTTTGGTGTAGGTACTGTCTTCTCATTCCATGGAGATGTTCTGCCTATTTAGGAACGTGCCCAGGTGGACTTTGCCGTGGAGTTTGATTGGCTTGTTTGAGCAATAAATAAATACTTACGTGTGTCAGTTAAGTGTGAGAGTAGGTGTTGAACATGACAGGTAAGAGTCCTTGTTCCCACAGATCTTCCAGACCTGGGGGAGAGACCAACTAGGAACAATAAAAAGAAAAAAGCCAAATGGTGGGTAGAGACCAGGTGCCGTGGGGCTGTGAAGTAGGTGATACTGTGGACGCAAGCAGTTAAGGGGTCAAAAAAGACTGCTAAGAAGTTGGGGGAGGGGTGAGAACACCTAGGCAGAGGGATCAGAGACACGAATGGGGGACACCCATGAATTGGTGCGTTTGGAGAAGAGAAAGTTCAGTGCAAATCAAGTAGGGAACATGAGAGAGGTACCTGGAGGAGCAGGACTGTGGACTGCCTGCAGCCTCTTGGACCTGGCACTGGTCACCTCTCAAGAGTTGACTGTGGGGGCTGGTGGTGTGGCTCACTTGGTTAATCCTCCACCTGTGGCGCCGGCATCCCATGTGGGTGCTGGGTTCTAGTCCTGGCTGCTCCTCTTTTAGTCTAGCTCTCTGCTGTGGCCTGGGAAGGCAGTGGAGGATGGCCTGAGTGCTTGGGCTCCTGCACACATATGGGAGACCAGGAAGAAGCACCTGGCTCCTGGCTTTGAATCGGCACATCTCCTGCCGTTGTGGCCATTGGGGAGTGAACCAACGGAAGGAAGACCTTTCTCTCTGTCTCTCTCTGTCTATAACTCTACCTGGCCAAAAAAAAAAAAAAAAAAGAAAAAGAAAAAAAGAGTTGACTGTGCCCTTTGTGTCCTAACTCCAGTGAGGTCATGTTGGTAGATGACACCCCAGAAACGGGGCAAGAGGTGGGCAATTCCAGTTTCCTGGTGAACAGTTCCTCTGATGATGGCACTGTTTTGTGTGGTGCTAACACTTGGTTAGGGGATCCAAGTTCCTTTTTCTAAAAAGTGATTTTTATTTATTTAAAAGGGAGAAGGAAGGGAGCCAGGCACTGCACCCAGGTTTCCCACGTGGGTGGCAGGGACTCAAGTACTTGGGCAGTCACCTGCTGCCTCCCCGGGCGTGTGTCAGCAGGAAGCTGGCATGGAAGGTGAGGTGGGACTTGATCCCAGCCACTCTGATGCGGGCTGCAAGCAGCTCAAGCAGCAGCTTCTCGCTGTGACCTAACACAGAACTGCCCCCGAGTTCTCTTTTGAGTAAGTCAAGCTTCAGATACTTGGAAGACAAAGCTGATGGCTGGCTACCTGGATTTCTCTCTTCCTATGTGACCACATGGTCTTTTGTGAACAAAATAGTTCAACCCCAATTTGGCTTGTTTTATCCATCCTGTTTGAGATCCGTCTGTTGAAACGACATATATTAAATATACAAGCCAAAAATTTCTGGTTTTCTATGGAGCCTATACAATCAGCAATTTTGAGATTCTTAGTAATTGAAAAAACTTACAATTTGATTTCTAAGAGTATTAACATGTCAATCTATTTTCCTAAGGAAACACCCTAAGGAGCATGGTCTCCCAAAGTGACTGACTTCTTCGCCGGCCAATGCATGCAGTTACCTTTGTTCTCCATGCAGAGAAAAAACATGTTCCAGGCTGTGTTGCAGGCACAGGTCATGGCAGCACAGTCATTAAGACAGTAGTCAGGTATGGGTTTTATCTGTTTATTATCATTTAAAATATATTAAAATCTTAACACAGCAGAGCAGGTACTTTTGTTGCACATGACAGTTTACAAAAAGCAAAGCAAAACCAAACAAAATTCCACAGAAACAAAACATCAACCAATAATATATTAAAATTCCATTTCTGTAAGGATATAAAGGCATGTAATCAATAATGCACACCTCTGAGAGAAAATCTATCGTTTCTTCAGGGACTTACACTTGGAGACATTCTTGAAGCAGAATCAACTTTCTTAAACTGTACCATCTTAATGAAGCAAATGGATAGAGCTGGGTCTTTCTGTATCTATTGCCTTTCCCTCCCCCTCAAAAGTGATGACTGTCCACTCCCATGAGGGCATTGGTAGCTGTTACTATGTGTGACAAGACCGAGAAGTGTAAGCAAAGAGGTACTTGTCTTTGAAAATTGTGGGACTGATTCCACACGACTTAAATCTTGGATAGAATCACCTGTAACAAAAAAAATAAGGTTGGATAACAAATCAGAATTTTTCAAAGAATCAATACTGAGCTCCTACTTTAGAGATCTTCCCTCTCACAGATATGCACAGGCCCCAATGTAACACAGCTCCCTGCAATGCGAACTCCACAGCCAGTGGGAGAAACAGTTCTCCTGCAACCTCTTTGGAGTGGAGCCAGGGAGATTTCAGACCCACCGCCCAATGCCAGTGTGAAGGCAGGGTCCCTGGGTCCCGCTGCTGGTGGTGTGGGCTCAGCAAGAAATGAACGGCTTTTGGATGCCCTCTGCCTGTTCTCACCTCACCCCTGGCCACTCTCCCACTTCTTTTAGGCTCTCTTAGGTTTGGGAGCAAACCAGGAGATGGAAAATGGGAGAGTAAGGAGATTTAAGGAGTCCTGAACACATGTGCTTGTTATTGCTGTTATCTTTAAAGAGTCACACTTCCTGAGAAAAGTACACAGACACCTCCTGTGAAGTCTTTTGCCTTTAAAGCACCAGGCCTCCAACTCTCGGACCTGTGGCACCCAGATGGCCGATGTGGGGCACGCTCAGATGTGGTTCAGGTAAAAACATTCACACCTATTCCTGAAGATGACTTCTCTATTTGAAGACTTGAGAGCTGTACGCTTGCCAAATGGGGAATGGTCTTCTTTCATGGCAAGGGACAGAATCAGGTGTGAGTGGGGCTTCTCCGGTTTGCTTGCTGCAGCACATTAAAGTGGGGGTCCCACCCTTGCTGCAGCACATGGGGGGCAGGGGAAGTCCCGCCCCGAGGTGGTGACCTTCCTAAACCCACATTGTCCCCGAGTGAGTAACTAGTGCTAGGTCAGGCATCAAAGTCCTCTGCACACACAAACCACACTTTGGAAGGCCCTGCTGAAATGCAGATAGGACCCCAGAGACATCAACATCAAATTAAGAGGCACCAGACTTCCTGTTGACCGGGCCCATGCATGTTCAGTGAGCCGGCTACCCCCTGATCTGGCCTAGGGCAGGGTCTTCCTCGGTGAGGTCCTGGGAGTTTCTGAACATCAGGATGGAATTGTATATCTTCAGTGCTGGGCCCAGTTTGATCTTCATCACCTTGACGATGTCCGTCTGTGTCAGAAGCAGGAAGGCTTTGCCATCGATTTGCTGTAAATAAACACACACACACACACACACACACAATGTGAATACCCCATGCTGTTACATCCTGTTCCCCCTGGGGTGCCGAGCCTGCTGATGGCTGAGCCTCAAGGCTCTAGCCAACTGTCACTCAACATCCCCCCACAGGAATGGGAAGTTGAATCAGATTAAAAAGGTGCTCACTCTGGTAAGTACAAATTCAATAGACACAAACAGTTCCCAGGCTACATTTTGGTTGTGATGTTTTTAAAATCTTGACCTCAATTTGTATTGAGAGCTTTAAAAATGACAGCAAGCAAATCTCCAGGAATTTTTCCCAAGAGAATAATTGCAATGTGTATTCCCCAGTATTATTTATGACAAGCGGATACTGACAGCAGCCCAGGGTTCCAATAACAGCAGAAGTAAATAAATTATGATATAATCACAGGATGGGATACCACAGTCATCCAAATTCATGTCCCAGTGAAACATTTAATGATCTGGGAAATTTTTCATGAACTGTTAAGCAACAAAATAAGATACGATGATATACAGAGATGTCATATTTAATCTGTAAAATTAAATATGCATGGCCACATGAACACATCTACATATGTAAAATATTTGAAGTCTTCATACCAAATGATAAACTGAAGTTATCTTTGGATGGTAGAATAGTGGCTGATGTTTATTTTCTCCTTTTAACTTTCTTATATGAAAAAAATTCTGTAGTAACATTATAAGCAGAAATGTATACAGAACAAATGATTTCTTTATTAATTTTTAAAAAATATTTTAAGGGGCCAGCACTATGGTGTAGTAGATTAAGCCACTGCCTGCAGTGCCAGTATCTCATACGGGCACCAGTTCGAGCCCCACTGCTCCACATTCCATCTAGCTCCCTGCTTATGCGACTGGGAATGATGTAGAGAATGGCTGAAGTGCTTGACCCCTTACACCTCATGGGATACACAGAAGAAGCTCCTGGATCCTGGTTTTGGACTGGCCCAGCTCCGGCTATTGTGGCCATTTGCGGAATGAACCAGCAGATGGAATATCTCCCTCTGTCTCTCCTTCTCTCTCTCTCTCTGTAACTATGCCTTTCAAATAAATAAAAAATAATAAACCTTTTAAAAAAGAGAGAAAATATATTTTTACACTAGTTCAGAATGATTTCTGGATTCAGATGAATAAGTTTTGGTGTCTAATGTACAGCAAGGATAGTGATGGACGTGCTAATTAATTCGACTGTGGTAATCACTTCACTATATACACACACACATTAAACTATCATGTTGGATAATTTGAATATATTCTTTGAATATATTCAGTTTTTATTTGACAATTACATTTTTAAAGATTTATTTATTTATTTGAAAGGCAGAGTTATAGAGAGAGAGGGGGAGAGATAGAGAGAGAGAGAGATATCTTCTGTCTGCTAGTTCACTCCGCCCTCCCCCCCACCAAATGGCCACAGTGGCTGGGGTTGGGCTGAGTGGAAACTGGGAGCCAGGAGTTTCTTTCTGGGTCTCCCACGTGGTGTCAGGGGGCCAAATACTTGGGCCATCTTCAGCTGCTTTCCCAAGTGCATTACTGGGAGCTGGATCAGAAGTAGAGCAGCTGGGGCTTGAACTGGTGCCCACATGTGATGCTGGCGTTGCAGGCGGTGGCTTAACCTGCTGCGCCACAACATCAGTCCTGACAATTCTGTAGTTTTAAAGTCAAAAACATACTGCAGTCTGAACTGTGGCTTTCCCCAGTAATAGACGGCCCTGGCCACCATGCAGGCTGCTTGTCCAGCTTCTGTAGGCCTCAGTGACCCAGGTTTTGATTCATGGGACTTTTTGGGGTCCTTACACCAACGTGACTTATTTATACACAGCCTGGCTCAGAAGATTCCTGGATCCAGAATCTTGTTCATTTCCTGTTCCAGAACCATGAACGCAGGAATGAGATTTCCATGGTAACACCCTTCCTGAACCAGGGTTCTAAACCTTTGCAAGTTTAACAGTGAATGGGGGCTGGTGCTGTGGCATAGCAGGCAAAGCTGCTGCCTGCAGTGCCCACATCCCATGGTTCGAGTTCCAGCTGCTCCACTTCCCATCCAGATCTCTGCTATAGATTGGGAAAGCAACAGAAGATGGCTCAAGTCCTTGGGCTCCTGCACGCATTAGGAGACCCGGAAGAAGCTTCTGGCTTTTGGCTCTGGATCTGGATAGCTCCAGCCATTGTGGCCATCTGAGGAGTGTACCATCAGATAGAAGGTCTCTCTCTTTCTCTCTACCTCTGCCTCTCTGTAACTCTGTCTTTCAAATAAGTACATAAATAAATCTTTACAAATATTTAACATTGCTTGCACACACCCTTAGATGATCTCACTGATGGTGATGCTTACGAGGGCAGGAAACCCCTGGGTGGTGTATGGGAATTATAACATTTAAAACAGCTTTAGAAAGCTTCCTGTGTATTAAGGAAGACTCATCCCTCTGGAGAATGGCACACTTTACCAGGGCAGAGGAGAGAGAATGTCTCTACTTCCATACCCTGACCCTTCTCCACATGCCCAAAGGGGACTTTTTGTGTGGGGCTGGGCCACCACAGCCAAGCTGGCCACACCCAGGCAGAAGCAGGGGAACATTATATTTCCTTGGCAGCTGCCCAGACTGATAGCGCCTGGGCCTTGTGCTGTGCTCCCTGTGGGGCTCTCAGGGATCCAGGACTCAAAACCCCAAGAGCACTCGATCTGAACCCTGCCTGCTCTGAACTCTAGAGAGGGAGAGGCACATGCTGTTTCCTAGAATATCAAAAGGTCCATTCTCATGCAGAGTTCTAGAGTAGTGACTGGGGCTCTGGAATCAGGCAGCAATGTGCTGGATCCTGGCTGTCCTTTTCTCAGTATGCCTGACCTTCTAGAGCTCAGAGCTTAGGTCCCTTGGCCATGAACGGCCACCGTGGAGTTTGGTGATGATCGAAGCTCTATGCCTTTTATCTAAGCACATCTCAGCACAGCACCTAGCCCATGGCAAGTCCAGGTAAACATCAGGAGCATTACTATTTGCATTATAATTCTGTAGCAGGCCCAGCCCCTTCTGAGGCCCTTGTCATGGATACTAATTCCTGGACAAAATGCTAAGCAGTTCAGCATATTGTCAGGCAAGAAGCAGCAACCCCAAAGGAAGATTTTGTGGTTTGTCTGCATCCCCCATAGAGCAGGTACAGGGCAAGGATAGGCTTATGATCCTGCCCTCACTTGGGAGTACACCAATCCCCTCTGCTCCCCAGTGCAGTCCCAGGGAGGATCCCTCCCGCCCCCAGTCAGGCTTAATGCCGCCATGCAGAGGCTTCAGGACACCTGCAGGTATTAATTCATTACTGCTAGGGTTAGAATGTCACCAGAAAAACTGCTGTTGAAGTTTAATCTCCATTTTAAGATGTTTTAAAATGTGGATGCAGAAGATGAGGCCATAATGGCTCTATCCTCACGAATGCATTGACTCATCCACCAGTTAATGGTTAACAGGTTATCCTGTAGGTGGATTTGTTACCAAAGCCAGGGTGGTCCCATCTCTTGGAAGCACTCCTCTCATCCATGTGATGCCCTGTACCTCCTCAGATCCCTGCAGTCCCCACAAGCAAGAAGGAGCTCACCAAATGCCACCCTTTGACCCTGAACCTTGTAGCCTGTAGTACCATGAACAGAGTAAGCCTCTATTCTTTATAGTTGCCCAGGCTGCGGTATTCAGTCACAGGAACATAAGATGGAGGAAGACAAATCCTCTTGTTTATTTACTATTCCCCTGAATAGTGTGTTTGCAAAGCATGACATATGAGCTGGGTGCCACAGAGCTCTGTGACAGCACAGCTGGGTATAAGAGAACCCAAGATGGGGGCTGTCCTGCTGTCCCACCTGCATTGCTGGCTCTTTCCCCACTGGCCCTTCTCTTGCCTCCCCAAGCTGATCTACACATCTGTCAATGGATGCAGAGCACTGCTGGGGGCCTAGAAGTGCAGAGACACATATAATGTTCACAGTTCTCACCTCTTTCCTGAAGCACTTGGCTTGTTCTTCACAGCCCAGGAGAGACTGTACAAACTCAGCCACCTGCAGAGCAAGATAAAAGGCCTCATTTACAACAGGCACCTGCGGTAATACCAGGTCCAACATTTGAGGAAGACACACGCCACATCTCTCTCATGTTTGGGATTAAATAGCAACTATCAGTTCACATCAGCATTTTCCAACTCACAGCTCAGAAATGAAACCTACTCGTGTCTTTTCTGTCCCCTTGTCACTAGGCCTACCCAGGGTCATGGGGATGGTAGTGCCAATGATGGCCTCTATCTGCACAGGGCTCTGGCATTAGGGAAGCTTCTCTCATCGGACTTTCTGGTGCACCCTGTAAGGGGTTGGAGGAGGGGTGGTGGCCTTGTGCAGCATTTGCCGAGAGAACTGCCAAGGGGCAGCAAGCGGTCAGCTTCCTTGCAGCAGGCCCCAGGCAAGGTCCTCTCTGAGGTCCCAGCTCCTTCCTGGTGTCTAGCCAACCACAAGGACTCAGTAAATCTAACTGGAATGGGTCCCCCTACAGATGAGGATGGAGCTGAATGCTGGTGACCCCCATTCACACATAGTCGCTAAGTAGCAAGGTGGATCTGGAACTCAGGTTAAATCCAAACCTCAAGTTCTAGACAACCTCTTCAATTCGATCTCCCATTCTCACTTTTCCCCCACCTTCTTTAACTCCCATATCCCCCCAAATTCCTCTTAGTAAGAGAGTTCTCATAAAGACCTGGCTGTTGGCTCAGGAAGCCACTAGATGTTATAAGCAGGTACTTGTGTGAAGCTGACTGAGTCAATGTGATACAGTGCAGACTCCCAACAAACTGAAAAGGCAGCTGGGTTCTGGCTGCTTCCGGCCAGGTCAGGTGCAGTGGCAGCATGGGCTGGGAGGCACCAGGGCAGCATAGGTAATTGCAGTCTTAGGTGCTGCCTGCATTGTGTATACCTGCCCTCCTCCTCCCGCGGGTCCCACAGGAAGGTCCCTGGAGAGCTACACAGCCCAGGACCTGGAGTCAGCCTGTTCTGCTATCAAACATCTCTGCAAACACCTGCTCCCTCCAAACTCGGCCATGAGTAGCAGTACAGGAGTGGCCACCAGGTGCATGGATTCCTGGTTACAGAGCAGTTAGAGCCAGAGGAGCACCCTGACACCTGTATGCACCCTGGATTTGCCCCACGGTCTCACAGCTCTACAATATTCAGTCTGTGTGAAGGAGGCGAGTTCTCAGTATCTTCTTTCTAGAAGCCATCAGTGTGTTACGTCTGCTTGTTACTCATCTCTGGTGCTGCCATTACATTTTATCATCAGTTGTTTTATAGTCTTCCTTCCAGAGTGCAGGGTGATAAGGGTTTTTAAATGCCCTCCCATATCAGCCATCGTGCTGCCATGCAGTGACATCTCCAAGCCCTGGGAGCTCCTGGGACTCGTGTGGGTGCTCCCACTGTCCTCAGCTTCCACATTATGAGTGGGTTCAAAGCAGACGCTGGCAGTTCAGAGGCAGAGGAGGCCAAGTCTGCTTGCTGAGTTAAGGTGATTTTTCTGGGTGAACAGGATGCACAGAACACTTTTGATAGTTGCAGGTAGCTGGTGAGAGCTATGGAAGGTCTCCAGTCAAGCTGCAGAGATGGTACAACTAGGGTAGGTGACAGGGCGGGTGGCAGCAGCCCTGACGGTGGCTGAAGCGGGGCTTCCAGAGTGTCTCATGCCCGGGACAGTGACAAGTGGATGGCTTCGTCTTTCCCCAGGTTGCTCCTTTGGCTTTGTGGGAGGCCTTGTGCTAGGTGCTGGGAGGGTTGCACCTGTGAGCAGGTTGGGCCTGAAAGTTAGTGAGCTGACTGATTATTGCGGGGGGATAGACGGTGCCTGGTGCATTCGGGAAAGTTCATTCTTCACTACAAGACAAGGTCAAGTGCACCAGCATCCTTAAGAGAAGTATAAAGGCCTTGGGTGATAGGGACAACCTGTATGTCGGGGGGACTCAGGGAAGTCACCATGTAAGTGGTGGTCCCTGGGTGGATGGGTAGAGAAGGCAGGAGAACCTCAGGAGCAAGCCCAGAAGCATCTGTGAGGAGTGCAGCATGGCTGAAGCTGAGCAGCAGGAGGGAGTGGCAGGCAAGGCAGGGGCAGCTCTGGTTTCTCACTGGGGGTTGTACTGCCATCAGCAGGTGGCAGGGAGCGCTGGGTTCTCTGCCATGGCCACACAGTGGAATCCCCTGCAGAGCACTGAAACTGACTGGGGTGCAGGCCTCATGCCACTGAGGTTACAAATGAGTCCTGCTGGACAGGGTCCAAGTACTGGGCAGTTATTTTTAGAGCTCCCTAGCTGACGCTAATGTGCACTGAGGGCCGAGGACAGCGGCGCTCGAGAATGCTGGGGTGATGATCCAGCAGTGTCCAGGATCCGTGCTGGCGCCTCCAGTGGGCAGTATCATCTGGGAAGCATCGGGGCAGGCGGAGGCGCCGAGGGCCTGGATGCTCTGCATGGGCTGAGCAAACAACCCAGGCAGCAGGCGCTGCTCAGGTGAAATCCTGAGGTTCTGGGGACGGACTGGGTGTGGGAATGAAAGGGATGGAAGCTGAGTCTGGGCCGCAGGCCCGCGAGCGCAGCTTCTCCACCTCAGTGCTCCTGAAACTGGGCCAGCCAATGCTGTGCAGTGGGGGCTGTCCTGTGCATTGTGGTGTGTTTAACAGTGTCCCTGGCTTCCGCTCACTAGGTGCGTGTAGGCTGCAGTAATGTGACCCTCCTAGCCGTGATATCCAAACATGTGTCCAGATGTTTCCGAATGTTCCCAGGGGGAAAACCGCCTTCTACAGGAAGATAAACTGTCACAGGAGGAAAAAAAACAGTGATAGAAATAGGTGCCCAGAAATTAGCTAAAGACCCATGCTTGGTTCCTCCATCAGCAGCTGCTGTGGGGAAGCTCGCTAGTGTGAGGTGAGGCCCACTGATGGAGAGAAGTGGTTGGTCAGAGACACGGTATTTGAAATACTTGTCCAAAGGGCTTCTGCTAGCAAGGAAAGTGTGGCAAGTTGCTCTGATGGTTTGCATATGTTAAACTGTCCTTTTCTGGGCAAACACACGAAAAAAGGCCCACATCCTCCTGCCTTCGTTTTGTTAGCCAGGAAATCACTGTCCATGTCAGAGGTAAATTGGATTTTTTTAATGGGAATAAACAATGTGTTGAATCACAGTGTCAACAGCACGGAGCAAGTGCTGCCGAGAAGGTGGCCTTGTTCAACATCAGCCCGGCGCCTGTGCCTCCCGCCCGCCTCACCAGCCCGCTGCGATCTGCAGACGGTGGGGCAGCTCTGGCTCCTCTGCTTTGCCACTCATGTCAAATCCTCTGCCTCTCGGGAAAGCGATTCCCATCCTATTCTTTGTTTTCCAAAGAACAAGTTTCATGAACTCTAATGAGACAGTATTCTAATAACTGAAAAATATCCAAAGACCTGGATTCAGGATTATTAGCTGGTGTTCAACTGCCCCTAAGAATAATTTCTAAGTTTTAGTAGAAAGCCAGTACTGCTATTAATTTTCCACATGTACAGTGGTGAGTTTTAATACACCATAGACCCACATCACAACGTTTCCCCTTCATTCCCCCTTAAAAGACTTTTCCATTCCCTCTCAAGTTCATGGTAAACTATGGACAGCTATTCAGATGGGAGCGAGCTCTGTGAGAGAGGAAATGACCACTCATTTGTCCTCCACCCAACAAATAGCAGGTTCTGGGATGAATCTGCTTTTGCAAGGTAACAACTGAGTGTCCTGTTAGAGCCCAGTGGGAAGTCCGGGCCTTGGTCTTGGCTCACAGCAACCCCAGTCCCTACCCCCACCTCTGTGGTGGGGGCTGGTGCTGCTGCCATTTCCTGCACTCTCTGGAGGGAGCGCCTGTGACTAAAGCCCTGTTTTGTTCTGGAAGGACACTGAGCAAGCTGGATCCAGGTATGCAACATCAGTAGTCAGGGACAACTAAGAAGGGAGACCCTGCCCAGGCTTTCTACAGAGGAGCCCGTCACTTTGCCCAATCCCGTCCCCCATGACCTACTTTCCCTAGCTTCCACCCTGGAGCTCAGCAGGCCTTGTGTTCTTCTGCGGGGCTGCTGCTCTTAAATCTTCCTGTGTGGTGGTGTCCTCTCTCTTGCTGAGCCTGGGGATGTGTGCCTGACCGGCCGGGCTAACGGTCCACTGGGGACAGTGCTTCCAGCCTGGCTCTCGTGTTGGAGCCACAGAGCTAATTTGCTTGCTTTTTTTTTTTTTTTAAGGGCTCAATGGTACAAGGCAGTTATGCTTAGTTAGCAGTACTCTGAATTTTTCAAAAGACTCCCTCCTGTGTAAAGACTTTTAAAGTGACTGCCATCTTTTACAGTTATGGATCGTTTAGGGCACTTTTGATTGAGGCTCAGGCAATTTACATGGGGTGCTTCAGACAATGTTTGTGAAAACAGGAAATAAAAGCATCTCCATGTGCATCCAGCATGACTGAGTCATCGCTGTGGTGGTAAATGTGCACTTGACAGGTGGTACCCTGCACATGTGTGCTTGGACACACACCTGCAGGAAGAGACTTACCCATTCACTCACTCACTCTCACTCAACACTTGTAAAACACTTACTCTGCACAGGATGCTTGCCTATGAAGATGTAAATGTTATAAGATATTTTATTTCCTATTCTCCAAAGCCTGGACTCCCATACAGGGTATTTTATTCATGACCCAGAATAAGAAACATGAGGGGTCTTCAGAGAGTTCAGGGAAAATGCATATTATAAAAAAAAAACTATGCATGGATTTCAAAAATTTTTGCATGAAAAAAATCCTTATCTTTCAAGTCCATTTTTCACAAACTTTTGGAAGTACCCTCGCACACACAAGGATGGTAACTTAGTGTGTGCACCCCTCTCCACAGCTAACCAAAGCTTCACAAAACAGTAACAGTTATGACCCAGCACCTACTCTCATCTTTCTCGCCTTTCATTTTGTAAGTATGAAACTGGCTTCACAACTCAGGCATGCTTTGAAAATTATCACTTGGGGAGAAACAGCCCCAGGAGCAAAGGAGTTCAAAGCCCGCTCTGGGCTCTAGGGCAGGTTACAAAGGCCCTGCGCTGGCCTCTCTTCACAGGTAGCAGGCGCAGAGCGGAGTCTTCCTCCCAAGCCAGGACTGGGGACAAAGAGATGTGCTTTTACTCCATCTCTGCCACCACCACTCTTCATTAAGTCTCGCTGAGAGGCTTAGCACTCATGCCTGAGCTCATTTCAACACTCCCTGTCCCTGATACCCAGGTCCCCTCCAAATGCCAGGCACCCATCAGGCACAAGGCACCCCCAGAGCCCCTGCTCAGCCCCGATTCACCTTTTCAAACCCTCACTCCTCCCAGGCAGCCACAGTGGTCTCACGCTGCTATCGGTTGGTGTTCACTGGATGCTCCCTACATGGATGCCCTCCTCGGAGCTGCCTTCCCATCAATCAAGGCCACAGCACAAGAGTCACAAAGTCCCCATTTCCAGCCCATCATTCCCCCAGACCTGTTTGGTGAGGGAAACATGGGTAGTGGGACAGGATACAGAAGGAAATTTAGAACAAGCTCCTCATCCTTCAGGGCATCCAATGATGGGCTCTGGAGCCTCAGATATGTTCAGCATTGGGGAATAATGAACTTGGTCTCTGGGATGCTTTCCAGATGGAAGTCATGGTTACAGAAGCTTCAGGAGGCATCGCCAGCAGGAGTGCAAGGCACTTGGCGTCTCCAATAGCCATTCTGAAAAAAAAGTCTATCAGTGCTCTCGGGCCTCTTCCAGCTGTAAAAATGCTGAGATTCGTGTGAACGTGCCCCAGAGAGCTTAGGAAGTGGGACCTCAGCTTCCCACCAGTCCTGGAAAGCATCCAGTTTCCTTCCCTTGGGCCTTCCTCCTGAGGCCCTTGGTGTCCCAGTGAGACGTGATTTGAACCAGCAACTCCCTTTAATCACCATCAGCCTCTCGCTCCTGCTTTTCTTCAAGGACGACTCAGAACTCATCAGACAGGAGCCAGCTGCTCCTCCTCTGCTCTTTTTAGTGATGGGACTGGAGAAAGTAATGAGTGTGCTGGCCACGAACACGTGCATGCACTGGACAAAGCTTTCTGAAGCTTCTGGAGCCCACGCCCTCAGGACTGTCCCCTTCAGTGGCATCTGTCCCTTGTTCCTGCCCACTGACCATCTACACTCTCACCACATCCTCCATAATAAATTCTGCAGGTTGGCCTCTGCCCCCATGCTGGGTCCCTACCCCAGAGTTTCAGACCCAGGGCCGCACGGTTTCCCATTCTTTCAGATAACTCCCACTCATTCTCATGCTCATCACACAGCAGACCATGTAGCTCATTTCACCCTTCCGTCTTCTCCACCTGTGCTGCTGCTGCTGACCTTAAAATGTCTGCTGGATGCAGGTTCTTCTCACAGCAGTGTCCAGTCCTGGCCCTGATGCTTCCAGGCCAGGTGCATATTGGTGATTTCCTGGGCATCTCCCTCCTTGGCTTCTTTTCATTGCTCTTTGCTGTTCTCACGTCCCTGTAAAGCCCCCTTCACCAACCTACCTGCACAAGAACCCTCTGTGGCTCCTGCTGCCCATCCAGCACCAAGCCCACTCTCTGCCCAGCCTTGAGGCCTTTCACACCTGGTCTGTCTTCCTTGTCCCAGATCTGCCGTGTGCATGATGGGGAAGCAATGAACGTAGGGGCTGGCTCGTATAGTCTTAAGCAAGTCATTTAGTCTCTGAGCATCTCAATTTCCCTATCTGCACAATGGGCGTAACAGGAGTATCTGTCTTACCTTCACTCTATTAGCTCAGTCGGTCAGCATCACTAATGTTAGCAAAGGACCCAGGGCTTTGCCGTCCAGGGCATGGTTCCAGCCATATCCATGCAGCCTCCCGTTTCCCTTTCAACTGCAATGTCTCCCCTTCTGCTCTCTGCTTAGACATGTGCCACTTCTGCTTCCAAATTCAGCTCATGATCAATTCCCTTGTTATTCAACACTTACTCAACAAACATTCGCTGGGCATTTAATAAAGCCAGGAATAGTGACAGGTTCCCAAGAGACTACACCAAGTGAATGAAATGAGGTCTCTCCTCTGGGCAGGAGTCAGGTGAGAGAGGTACAGGGAGAGAGGTGACCCTTGGCTCTGCTGGAGGTGGTGGTGAGCACTGAGCTGTGGGCTGGTGGTGGCAGTGGAAGTGGGCGGTGGTGGCATGGTGGGCGGTGGCTGGTGGTGGCATGGAGGTGGGCAAGAGTGGAGGATCAGAGTGGAAAGGTAGTTGTAGACAGAGTGTGTGGTGAGAATGTTACTGGAAGCCAGGGCCTGTTTTAAGTCAGGCAGCTCCCTTCCATATTCTCCCACTGTCAGGACTCAATTGCTCGGTAATCACTGGGCTGTAGAGGCCCTGAAGCTCTCTCTTCCAGCCCACTGCAAGGTGAGGTGAGAGCAGAGCTGGGGTTGGAATCTGGGCAGCTGTTTCCATGCTATCACTCTGCGGGACAGTGAGGAGCAGTAAGAGAAGAGGAGCCTCCACCACTCTCACTTCCAAGCAGGCAGAACTTCAGACAAGTGGCTGGGAAGTCAAGAATGAAGGACTCGCCACTTAGTTCTCAACTGCATTCCCTGTTCCATGCAGTGCCACTTCAAGGGCGAAACCACCATGATCTGATTACAGACATAGCAGATTTTAAGTCAGTGGACTTGGTCCTGCATCTGCTGCTTACTTTGTAAACTTGAACAAATCCATAAGCCAGGAGCAGACTCAAAATACACTTTCAGGAGCAGGTTCATATGTCGGTCACCTCTCCAGACACCCAGCCAGCGTCTGGCGAGTTCAGCCTACTCTGTTCCAGGACCATCTGGGCCCATCAAGGAAGGGGAAGGGAGAGCAAGGCATGCTGGGAAAACAGTGTCAGGCCCGTTCTGCTCCACAGTGGGGGCATGTAGGACACAGGGAACCTCAGGCCCATTGTGAGAGGGGTATGGGAAGGAGGCGGGGACACGCTGGCTCCAGGCTCCAAGGTCTGTATGGCTGCCAGCCCTGCCTGCTCCCTGGCCCACGAATGGCAACCAAGTCTTAAACCAGGCCTAAGTGAAGGTGACTGCAGTTAAGTGCTCGGTGAACATTCTGGGCCTAATTTAACTTCAGCTCCAGCTGTCATCTTGTCCTCAGAGTGACACAGAATTTTCCTTGATTGAAAAAACAATGTTATCTAATACCTAACTAGTGAAAACAATATCTTTTTTAAAAAATGCAATATATTCGTTAAAAGGAAATTGCTTTAAGCATGAAGAATCTCTACAGCATTCTAGTAAGCAATGGGGCTTCACGGATCCTTATTAGAAACCAATACTGCAAGGCACATTTACATTAAAACCTGAACCAATGCCCTCTGTACATCGCTGTGAGCAAACACATGTTTAACATCAGCCCGAGGCTGACCTTGGCTCTGCGGGCAGCAGGGGCCTGCTCTGATGACACCACATCTGGGGTGGGCGCTCGTTTCCTGAGAGGACGCTGCTGAGGTGCTGGCCCAAGATGCTACTACACGTGTCCTGTGGAACTGGAGGCTTAGGGCTCTCTGCTTCCATTCTCCTGAGCAGGTGGTGCTGGGGTACAGGTGGTGCTGCAGGAGAGGAGGTCCTGGACCAAGTGGGCATGCCCTACGGGCTTTCTTCACGTCTACAGAGTCATGGCATACTTCTCCCTCCAGCTGAGACTGTAAATATGACACAGTGGATGCTACCCCTAAGAAACAAGGGTATTCTCCCAGGCCTGCCTACAGAACCTCAGCAGCAGCACGTCCCATCCCAGGGCCCCGGGGCGGCTCTGCTCACCTCGTCCACCGTCCAGCGGGCCACTTGGCTGGCCTGGATGTCCGCCACGCCTGGAAGCAGCTTGCAGTGCTGCTCCCTGCCCAGGGGAAGGTCCCGGAAAGGGTGGGCCGACATGGAAGACATGAAGACCGACTGGTGGAGTGCCTGCTGTGTCTGCTCGGCTGAGTACTCTGCAAAAGAGGAGTGGAGTGAGCACGGGCTCTGTGAATCAGCTGGCAGCCAGGCCAGCCTCGTGACAGAGGCCCCTGGGTCAGCGTAGGTGAGGTGCAGGCAGAGTCACAGCCCCATCCTCTGCTCCTGCAGGGCTATAGCCAGAGGGGTCCCAGAGCACAGCCTACATCACTGATCTATTTTAAAACATGCTCATGAAAAACCGATAGCAGCTAAGGCCCACAAGACTGGGGCTGTTCGCTAAGCCAGTTCAAATATTCTCCCTGAGATACTGTCTGATGGGCAGTGAGGACTGGCTTGTCACTGCCCCTGGCTTCTCTCTCCTTCAATCAGGAGTCAGAGGAATCAAAGACCACGCAGAATGTGAAATTAAGCAGCCTGACACACTGAGCCATCTGGGCTGTGCGTGCACACAAAGAACCATGTCTTCCTGGAAGCTGCTGCATACATCTCTAAAGAGAGAACAGGCCAGGTCCACAGCTGGCTTTGTAAACCCCCTGAGTGATACGGACCAGGAAGTGCAGCTCAGGGGCCCCAAGGGAGACATCAGCTGCTGCTCTGGATCCCCATCAAGACAGGCTGCCCTCACCTGGCTGGCGTGAACTCGTGTGGCAGCCAGGGACATCTGGAAAGCAGTCATGGCTGAGGCAAGCCTTCCCTGGCACAGGCAGCCTTACGTGGGGCGCCCTCTTTTCTCTGCAAAGCTCTGGATGTTCCGTGGTTCTCAGGCACAAAGGACAACGGCAGCTTGCTGGCCCAAGACCGGCTGCTCTTACTAAGGGGTAGGACTTCGCTGGGGTCAGGATGCATTTCAAACTCACACTATCAACGGCCTCTGCACTGACTTTCCACCTTCCAAAGTGACTTAGCTCTTAGGTTACTTCCCGACACTTAAGATGCAGAATGGATCTCAACTCCCTAATTACGTTGCTTTGAATTTACAAATGGAGGGTAAGAACCAACAACATTACAGAGACTGCAGAGAAAACAAATGGTTTTATAATGACATCTTTTAAGATAATTTCAACACACATTAGCAAAAATAAAACTGCTGGTATTTAAAGAGACTTTGAAAAGAAAGATCACAAAAGGAAATGCTTCCAGCCCTCTGGAAATCAACCTTTCCTAATGCAAACGCGAGACTGAGTGAGCAGCAGACACATAATGCAAAGTCTTAGGGTGGTTTGTGTTTTGCGAGCCGAGTCTGAAAAGTTATTATTCAAACGTTGCCACCTGAAATTAATTGCAGTTTTTAGTGGATGAGGCAGACGTAGTCCCTTAGCCACACACCAGACAGCAAGTCTCTGAACAGTGAGTGAGCCTGTCCATCATCGGACTTCTCTGCACAATGCCAATGTCACAGATAGGAACAGACATCCTCATATTTACCAATGCTTGCTGCCTATGCAGATAAAGACAGCAAAATTGCCAGCTTCTCACCAATCCTTATGCTCCAGTTACACCCGGCAGAAGATTCATCTCTAACTGCCGACTGTCCAACGCTGACCTTTTTAGTATGTAAATAGGTTATCTCTCCCTGTAGTTCAGCCAACAGTATGTAAAGCTGCGGCTTCTCAAAGGAGAGTTCACATCAAAAATCAGTGTGCCGACAAATGTGAATTTTCTTCCATGGAGTTGTCAGGTTGGACGAGGAGCACATAGGAAACAAAGCCCAGGAAACCCAGGGCTGGCTGGCAGCTGCACCTGCCAAGAGACCTCAGAGGGCTCTCCTGGGAAGCCAAGAGTTAAAGCCATGCACACTCAGGGATTAAGACAGGGGTCAAAGCCCAGCTTGATTCTGGAAAAGAACTGCTGCATCCGTCAACTAGTTGTTTTTGCTGGAATAGCATGGACTTGAAAAAAATACATACATGTTTATGTGTATGTATCTCAAACCCAGGCCTTGGGTAAATCAGTCATGCATAGCTTCCAAAATATAGGCACAGAACTCTAGAAAGACACAAGATTTTATTTTGGAAGTGCAAGGATGTCGAGTGTTGGAGATCAGAGTCCTGTGATTTACAAATAAAGGCTGACCATTTAAAATGCAACAACAGCAACAAGGCACCTGTGTGCTCCCAAGCAAGAACATTTTCCACACCATAATCTTGGAGAATTGTCTGATCTGAGTATGTAGCAAAGCTCTTAGGAACAGACCTAATGTGTGACCGGCAGATCCCCAGCAGTATGGGGTTTCTTGATCCACTGCTTGCCATTGCCAAGGCTGGTCATGGGTCCTGGAAGATGGCCGAGGGTGACTAGTTAGTTCAAAACCTTCAGGATGGTCTTTTGGTTACAACTAGAGGTAGGGAGCTCTAGCTTCATGCTACACACTTGAACTCAGGCAGATTTGATATCATTTTTTGTGAAGGGATGTGTAATCTAGATTTTGTGAAGGCTGGACCACCCCTGAGAGCTGTGGGTAAGAGCCACAGGTGGTGGAAGCAGACTTGTGGCCACTTGGTGGGCTGTGGATCCCCGACCTGGGGTCAGGAGTCCTCACTAGTCTAAGGGCCCTATTTGTCTGCAAACCCAAGTTCTGCCTCATCCGTTACATGCTGCACACAGGTGACTTTTGTAAAAAAAAAATTATTTTGAAATAGTTACAGAGACAGAGGAACACACAACCCCATACACAGTGAGCTTCCATCCACTGACTCACTCCCCAGATGACCTAACAGCCAGCAGAGGACCAGGCTGAAGCCAGGAGCCAGGAGCTTCATCTGGGTATCCCACGTGGGTGGCAGGGCCCTGGCACTTGGGCCATCTTCTGCTGCCATTCACAGGGAGCTGGATTAGAAGGTGGGAAGCTAGGACACCAACCCTCACCTCTAAGGGATGCTGGCATCACAAGTGGAAGTGTTACCTGCTGTGCCACACCAGCCTCATGGGTGACATTTTTACCACACCAATTTTATATCATGGAAAGTTGAGTTTGTTGCTACTCAAAAAGATATGTTAGGTGAGGGAGCAGGTCTGTGAGCAGGAAGCTGGGCACAGCCAGTTTGTCATCTCTATGACAGGAATAGAGTTATCAGTGAGGCAGACAGAGATGTTCATGGTATGACGGCCTCACTCACTGGGACCTACTGTTCTGAACTCCCTCTGCAAGCTCCTTGAGGCCAGGACTGACATTTTATAAAGGGAAGTTGCCCTGAATGAATGTAATGTAACACAAGACCAATTCTCCCAACAGTAACAAGACTGTTTCTTGTCTTGCCGTTTTTACCCTTTAAGGTTGTGGGACAGCCAGTTCTAGCAGAATGAGTTCTGGGTGGCAGCCACAGAGCTGCTGTGGCGGAGAAGGGGGCAGGGCTGGGTTGACTCCAGAGAGCCTGGTTCTGAAGCTGATCTGCTCACGTCATGGCCCAAGGTTTCTCAAGTCTGAAATGGGGTGTAATGATTATATGAACCCTCACTGTTATCATAGAACAGCTCCTGGTTACATAAATAACAACAATTAGAACCCTGTTGTAAGATGCAAAGGTGTCTTTAAGTTGGAACAGCAGCAAATACGAGGACATACAGAATTTCCAAAGCCAGTGTGGCTCGCTGTGACTAAACCCTGGGAACACTGGCATCCAGATTGAGACTCTAGACCTTGCGGGTCAGGCCCAGGTTTCACACCCATGTGGTCCTGTAGTGACAGCACAGTGCTCAGCAGAACCCTTTGCGTAAGTCCCAGGGAAAGTCTCAGCTCCACAGGGGGGACTCGTGCTCTGCAGGCAATCTGGGGCCCATGTGTGGCAACTGCCTCACAGGGCCAAAATGCACTCGGTCTGCAAGCTTGGAGAGTACATGGCTCGTGAGAGACTTTTAAAGTTTGTGGTGATTTGCATGATTTTAAATGTTGTGCATAAAATTAGACTTTTGAAAATATCTACTTAAAATCTGCATAAAATTTCCAAAGTTGTGAACACACTGATTTCCACATTTTACCAGATCCATCACAGTTCCTGTCCTAGCAGATACTCACTGAGTCACTGTTAATAAACTAAATGACCTAAGCTGGTGTGTGCAGTATCCTCAGAAGCCATCCTCATCAGATCCAGAGGATCAGATCATTCCGCCTTGGAGTATGCTGGGTAAGCAGGGACTTCCGGATTGGAAAAGCACATTGCCCATGCAGAGGGCAGGAGGGGTCACTGGCATGTACCATGGCCGGCATCCTGGCCCCGCTCCCATCTGACACAGCCCAGGGCCAGGGGAGGCTCCCAGGTTACACTGTGGTGTCTCTGACCTAGCTCCCTGAAAAGTCAGCCAGGGAAATTCAGCCAGCAACAGCAGCGCGCCGACTGGAGGTTTGAACATATTAATTAATCAAAATGTCCTTTTGTACCAGAAAATGGAACGCGTATCTAATCCTGGCTTTGCCTCTAACACCCATATGTGAGTGACAATAAGTACATCTCAGACGCCTCCCCTTTTCAGAAAACAGTACGCAGCACTTGTCACCTTAGTGGTTTAACCATGTGTGCAACTGTTTGCCTGTAAGATTTTCTTGCTACCACTTCTCTTGCAGCCTGTAAGAACATATACAATGAAGTGCTTAATGACTCGTTCAAGGTGTGGTGAGGTTTGGAATGCTCTGAACTTCCCAAGGCCACGGTCATCCAGCTCTGTGTTGCTCCTCAGGATGCAGCGCTGGAGGACTTGCCCTGGGAGTCCCATCAGGACCTCCCATGCAGAGCAGTCGATAGCAAGTGGGGACCCGGCCGACTCCCTCAGGAGTCCTCATTGCAAGTCAGAAACAGCCAGCTGGAGGCGGGCCCATCTTAAGAGCCCAGGGAGCCGGGCAGCCCGGCCAGCGGTGAGTGGCCACCCTTCCAGGCTTGTGATGTGCTGAGCAGTGCTGGCTGCTTCCCAGTTGCATAGATTGTTTTTTTTTTTTTTTTTTTTTTTTTTTTTTTTAATTACGTACTTAGAAACGAAAGGATTTTAATTTGTCTGAAAATAACATGAAAGTAGGTCCCTGGTTTCTTCTCTGTCCCTCTCACTC